AAGAGTGTGGCTGTTGGTCAGATCGGCTGAAGCCAGGCTTTGGGGGCGATGATGTCATCCCCATGACACATTCATCCCTGGACCCTTCATGGTGAGCTCAAATGTGGTTCTCTTGCTCAAACTGAGAATGAAGCTGAGCACTTTTTTTGGTAGTAAAATATACTTATTGATAATATGACGTTGACCATTTTAACATGTATAGTCCAGTGGCATTAAGCACATTCACAATATTTCTTCACCACCACCACTACTTTCAAAATGTTTCATCATCTCAAACAGAAACTATGAAGTCACTAAGCAGTAACTCCATCTGGCTGCCCACTCCAGCCCTTGGTAACTTCTTTCTGTCCCCTTGTTTTTTTGTTTTTTGTTTTTTGTTTTAGAGTTTTTTTGTTATAGGGCACGTGTGCTCACCAGAAAGACAAAGAGAGACAGAGAGACAGAAAGCGAGAAATCACCCCCCCCAAGGGGGATGACCACACGGCAATCCCTTCTCCATTCTCCTCTCAGGATCTTGGACATGCATGCACATACGCCTGGCATGAGTTTAAGCCACTGGGTCCGAGACTGGAACCGCGGTCGACCACATGGGAGTTCAGCGACATAGCCATTAGGCTAACTGCTGGTCCCAACTTCTTTCTGTCTCTGAGTTTGCATTCTAGATATGTTATAAAGTATATTTATCCAATATCTGTCCTCTAGTCAATGGCTTATTTCACTTACTGAAATGTTTGTGAGAGTTAGCCGTATAGTAACATGTATCGGTACTTCGTTCCTTTCTATGGCTGAATAATATTCCCATTGTATGCCAGTATCACATTTTGTTTATCCATTATCTGTTGAGGAGCACATGGATTGTTTCCTTTTGGCTTTTGTAGCTAGTGTTGGAGCGTACATTGGTATACAAGTATCTGTTGGTGTACAAGTATTTGTTGAGTCTCTGCTTTTAATTTTTTTTTAAATTTGTTAGATGGAACATAGGCTTGCCAGAGAGAAAGTGAGAAAGTACCTCTCAGGAGGTTGGCTATGCCACAATCCTTTCTCGTCTATTTTTTTCTCACTTTTAGGATTTTAGGCATACATGCTTATTGTGTTTTTCAAGCTGCTGGGTATGGGATTTGAACCTTAAGGTAGGCCATGTAGAATCCAGCTGCATTAACCACCACACCATTAGCTGGCCTTCTGCTTTCAACACTTTCGAGCATATACCCAGGAGTGGAATTTTAGATCATATGGTAATTTTGTTGAGGTTTTAGAGGAACTAACAAATGGCCTTCCACAACAGGGTCAACATTTACATTCTTACTGGCAGTGTAGGAGGGATCCAGTTTCTCCACATTCTCACCAACACTTGTAAGACACTGGGTATACTCTAAGTATAATAAACAGCCTGCATCTGATTCAGTTCATTTGTTTGGCTCACTGCTTCATCCCTGACACAGGATTCAATGAACACGTTCCTGTAGAAAAAGGAAAGGAAGAAAGGTAAGAGGAAGAGAAGGAAGAGGAGAAATGGTTTCTTCATTTTTACAAATCTAGCACCTAGCACATTGCCGGACAGGACACGTGTTCAATGACAACTCTTGAACTAACAAAGTAGGCTGTTATTTATTTTTCTTCACCTGATACATATATAGGTATTTGTATATAGCTCTATCATTAAAAAAAAAAAAAAGTTTCTTCCATGAGTGAGAGACAGATAGCATCCCCAACTGGATTTTGATGCTATCTTGATCACCCCACCTCCCAGCCTCAGCCTGCCCAGATCATGCACACACTTGTGCCCAGTGTTTTCAGGGTCTTGAGATACAAACCTGGAACCCTTCCATGTGGGTCAGCCTTGCAGTGTTGTGTCACCCCTGCATCACTGTGTAGCCCCACAGATTTCTATCTAAAAGTGCTTCTCAATCAGTTATTCTGCTCATATCACTTCAGAAATAATTGTGATACTTTAACTCATAAAATGTCTATACTGTACATAATCTTAAACATTTAGGGCCTGTTGATGTACCTTTGTGGCACATTGGACCACTTCCTCGTGGCCCATTTTATATCATGTGCACACTTTATTTTGAGCATTGATACCAGCTTTTTAGGATCTATGAAAAATATGAAGTTTAACATCACATCAGGTTAGGTCCCTTTCCGTCGCCCTGCCAAAAAAAAAAAAAAAGGCAAAAAAAAAAAATTACTTGGGATCTAAAACAAAAATTACTGTGGATCTAAAACAGTTTTTATTTATTTATTTTGTGAGAGGTTTCTGCTATAGGGCGCATGCGCTTGCTGGAAAGACAGAGAAACAGAGACAGAAAATGAGAAAGCCACCAGGTCCAGGACTCGAACCACCTCGAACCACGGTCAACTACAGGGGAGTCCAGTAACATAGTCATTATGCTAACTGCTGGTTTTGTTTTTATTTATTTATTTATTTATTTAATTATTATTATTTTTAAAAAAGGTCTATTAAAAATACAGTGCAGGGACCAGCAGATGGTGTAATGGTTACATCACTGGACTCCCACGTAATTGATAGCAGTTTAAGTCCTGGACCTGGTCACTTGAAACAGTGGGCACCTGTGCATGAGAGCCCAAAATCCCGAGGAGAATGGAAGAGAAGGAATTGTGCCATAGTCATATCCCGCCCCCCTGGTGGGGGGGGCTATTTCTTGCTTTCTGTCTCTCTGGTGATCACACACATTCTATAGTAAAATCTTTTTAAAAAAAAATAGAAAAAAAGAGGACAGGGGAACATCCCTAACTAACCTGTGACTATTTTGTTTATTTAAAGTCTTTTCAATTTCTCTTGTAAATCAAACAGTTCTGCCAACACCCCTGCCAATCTTGGACCTATCCCAGATAGCCAAATAGGTGAGCCTGACTGTAGCCTGATCTGAATCTCCACAAAGCACATTGATTTGTTCTGGAACAGGGCTTCTATCTCGTGGGAGACTCCCATTAGTGTGTTTTTGTCATTTTTGTAGTTTGAGTTGAGAATAGGGCTCTTCAACTCTTTCCTCCAGCTTAGGGTACTGCTGCAGGCTCCTGTGTAAGTCTAGAGAACCATTTACTGAAGTTTAGAGTTGACTCCTCAATGCAGTGTCTCACTGCTCATTGTCAGCTGACCTCTGGGACCAAGATGTGGTCCTGTGGGATTATGTGTGCAAGGAGCTGAGATCATATTCATCTTTTTTTTTAAAAAAATATTTATTTATTTATCCACTCATTTATTTTTTAATTTGACCAGAGGGGGGGAGGGGAAGTGCGAAAGCAAGCCACCAGGTCCGGGACATGAACCGTGGTCGGCCATGTGGGAATGTCCAGCACCTTTAACCGCCACGCCACCTGCTGGCCCCAGATCATATTCATCTTGATGTTGTTGTCTTGTAAGTATAAGAAACGGTCTGGATCCAGTTCGGTTCTTTTTCTCCTGAGTTGCCTCATCTATAGATGCGGATTGCTCGCAAGCTGTTGCCTAGGAACGGTGGTTGCGATCTATGATGTAACAATAACACACGCTGAGGAAAGGTCAGAATGCCCGGGAGAATAGGGAGGGGGTATGGGGGTGTGGAGGTGAGTTCTCTTACAGTCTTCTTTGACCAACTTTCTGGCTAAGATTTTAATTTATTTCATCACATGCCCTTCAGCCGAATAAAATAATAATAATGATAAAAATATTTCATACCCGATTGCCTGTAAGTATGTGCTTACCCGTTCCCATTCAAAAATCTTGATTTTCATGGTGCTGCGGGTTCTGCGGGGATTTGATGTAGACAGGTGCATTGGGACCGGAACTTGGGCTTTACGTCCCTAAGGCAGGACAAATGTAGAAAAGCGAGAGAAACTAGAGGCATAAGACATGGAGTAATTGGGTTATAAAGGAGAGGGTGCCATGAAAATCAAGCCGCCCCAGAAGACCAGCTTCTAGGAAACTACCCATCCCCAAGCAACCAGGCCTGCCGCTCACAAAGCGGCATGTTGTCGTGGCAACCGCAGGATCTCGCGAGATAGACATTGCGCCTGCGCACCGCCGCTTTGACGGGGGCGGGGCCGGAGCCGGAGCCGGAGCCGGAACCAGAGCTAGGTGTCTGGATGTTCTATTCACGGTCATAACCTCACTCTTCATGGATGAGTTCTGATTCTGTCGCTTCCGTGCGCGGGCCCTGAGCTGACTTGCTCCATTGAAAGTGACCTAGAGCGGACTGAAGAAACGTGGACTGCTCCTAGCGATTGCTCCCCGCACCACCGCGTTTGGGAGGCGGGGACGGGGGCTCTGCGCACGCGCGGCGCAGGCGCACGTGGAGTCGGCGTTGTCACCTGAGGGTGATCGCGGAATAGCGTGAGTGAGAGTGGGACCCCAACCCTGGTCGGATCCGGCCTGGGACCGGCAGAATCTGAGACCAAAGCAGGTGGGCACTCAGGGTCCCCATGGCTTCCCTTGCCCCTCTCGTTGTGGCCGCAGGACCCCGACTTCCCGGCCTGACCGCCACAGCCCTGGACCAGTGCGTCTTCCTATCTACGCGCCGCGCCTCGCTCAGTTCCTCTCTGGAGTGGGGCATCTTTGGGGCTCTAGGGATACAAAGATATCCTCCACTTCTGTACCTTATCTACTAAACCTAGAGTCATTCCTGATTCCTTTCGCTTTACCCGAGTTGATCACCCCGGCCGGGAGATTTTACCAACTTGTGCCTCTCTCCATCCCCTCTGCGGCACCTCTACTACAGGCCAGTCATCTTTCTCCTGGACTTCTCTGGGAGTCTCTGCTGCTTCGAGTCTTGCAAAAGACCCTCTGGTGCTCGGAATCAAGAATCTTTTTTTTTTTTTAAAGAATTATTTAACTTTAGTTTATTTGCTTATTTATTTCAATTTGGCGAGAGAGAGAGAGAGAGAGAGAGAGAGCGCGAGCAAGCCAGCCACCAGGTCCGGGACTCGAACTGTGATCGTCCATGTGGCCATGTGGGAGGTCCAGCTCCCTTAACCACCACGCCACCTGTCAGCCCAAGAAGAATCTTTCTATAGAGTAGTTCTTACTGGGGCTCCAAGGCTCGCAATAGTCATCACACTCTGGTCCTTACATTCGCTAATATGGTGTCTAACCACTCTTTCTCTAGGATGTCTGACCCAGTGACATTGCATTTTTTACCTTTCTTTTAATGCTGTTCCTCAGGATACACTTCTCTACTTTGTATCCCCTTGGGCAGGTATTCTTCAGATGTAGGCTAAAAAGCCTCTTCCTCCAGGGAATCAGCAGTTAGTGTAATGGCTGTGTCGCTGGATTCCCACGTAGTAGACCGCGGTCCGTGTCCCGGACCCGGTGGCTTAGAACTCACGCCGGGCGCATGTGCATGCGTGCCCAAGATCCGGAGAGGAGAAAGGAGGAGAAGGGAGAATGGAGAAGGGACTGCGGTGTGACCATTCCCCCTGGGGGGTGATTTCTCGCTTTCTGTCTCTCTCTCTGTCTGGCGAGCGCACGCGCCCAATAGCAAAAACCTCTAAAAGAAAAAAAAAAAGCCTCTTCCTCCAGAAGGCCTTCCTTTTCTGACCCCTTCAACTGAATTATGTCTCCTCCACCTCCCCTAGGCGTCCTATAAATCCCTGGCCTTATTGTGTCACACTTTATTACCAGCGGATAGTCTTCCTTAGCGACTAAGAGCACTGAGGCTAGTCATTGTTCTTGCCTTAATATTTAATCTGTATGGTTTGGTGCATCGTGGATAACTCATAAATATTTGTTGAAGTAAGAATGGTGGTTGTGGTCTGAGAGTGGGATGTGGTATTCCATGCAGAGGGGAATAAATGTGTCTAATGACATGGAGGTAAGAAACGAGTGGCCTGGTTAGATAGTGTGTGGTTCAGTGTTGGGTGAAATGTGCACAATGAAGTATTAACATGCACAGTTTGGCAGAAAGAGAAAGTGGTTAGCAGGTGGAGGCCAGAATGTGAAGGGCCTTGAATGTTGCTTTAAGTCTGTACTTGATCCTGTAGGCAGTAGAAGCCTCCCAGATAAAGCTCAGAAGGCTCTCAGCAAGGCCTTCCTATTTTTGTCCCTTTGTCTGAAGCGTAATATTACTTAGCAGTCAGTACTTTTTGGATTATATCACATGAGATGCTGTTGATCTGAATTACTTGGCTCTTCTCATCTCCCCCACCAGATTCTGCAGACAGAAGTGACTGCCTATCTTGATTTCCTTCTGGAGCACATAACTGTATGTATTTATTGACCCTGTGCTGTTCGAATGTGGAGGCATGAACAGACTTGCAGTCTGACAAAAGCTCTCTTGGGTAATTTGTCTTGATTCTCAGCCATTTAGTTCCCTCCTCCTGACCACATATAGCCACTGGCAAGACTTCACTGGAGCTGTGCAGAGATCATGGGGGTGGGGAGGGTGCACACTGTGTCTGGCATGAAGGAAGCTGCTTAGGTAGCAGATATTGAGTGTCTCCAGCATGGGCAGTGCTGACAGGATCAGATCATGACAGGGTTTGCTCTCTCACCCCAAGGAGCTGATTTTTTTTGTGGGAAAGGACTAGGAGAAATACCAGATGCCAACTGAAGTTAGGGGACTAGATCTCAGGGCCTTCCCATGTGTAAAGGCTGCCTACACCATCCTAGGGTGTCTAATTCTCGTTCTGTATCAGATTCATCTGGGTAGCTTTTTGCAAGTGCAGATGCCTGGGTGTATTCCAGATTCCAATTCAGTAGCTATGGGGTGAGAACTATGTTTTTTTAAAGTCCTGAGTTATTTCTGAAGTGTAGCCAGGAGTGAAAAAGTGAAAATAATCTGGATTGTGACTGCTTCCTCACCCATATATTGAGAAATTCTGCAAGAATGTTGTAAGACTGAAATACCAAAAAAAAAAATTACATTTTTTATTTTTTTGCTTTTTGCAATAGGGATTGTGTGCTCACCAGAGACAGTGAGAGGGAAAGTGAGAAGTCACCCCTAGGGGGAATAGCCACATCTCAATCCCTTCTCTAGTCTCCTAGGATTTGAGGCATACATGCACACATGCCTGGGATGATTTTCAAGCTACCAGGTCCAAGACTTGAACCATAATCATCCATGTGGGAATCCAGCACCTTAAGCACCATGTCACTGGCTCCAGTGCTTTATACATTCTGATATACTCTATAGACATATCTGCTCTTCACATCAACTGACAGCCTAGAAATTGAAAGTTAACTGAAGAGCCTTAACTTCCTTTAGTTTTGCTAAGTGGGGCCCCATGATTCTCCACTGAGTCCTAGGAAGAAGGTGAGGAAGAAAATTGAGAATAAAAGGAGTATGCAGTCACCTCTGGGAAGAACAAACAGGTTACATGTGCCCCTTAGTTCAGTGGTATATGTTTTCCCCAATAAAGATCCCTCTTATTTTTCCTTTATGGATTAATATGTTTAGGTTTCATTAAAATATTCCCATTTTTCATGAAATTGCTGACCAGAGCTGATATCATAAAATAACCATAAGAAAGGAGAAGATATGCCTGCATATGTATCAAATATTTTCAGAAGGCTACATGAGAAACTGAGGGCCCAGAGGAGGAAGGAGACTTAGAGAAGAGGACAGGACTCAAATTATAATTTGAAATTTTAAATATGTACAAAGATTACTGTTCTAGTTCTTTAATCACACCTCATTAATTACACATGGGGTCCTTATAGGTGGTGAACTCCATGCAGCAGGAGACAGGGTCTTACTGACTGGGCTTTGGTCCCTGCTCTGGAGGTGTTCTTTGAGTATTTGTTGAATGAATGAATGAGTGGGAACCTAACTAGCAGTCTAGAAAATAGTAGTAAGTCTGTAAGATTAATACCATAAAGCCATAAAAAGATAATTTTGAACAGGTACAAATGGAATATTTTTAATATGTGAAATAAACAAAGGGAATTTCACTATGATTATACTAGTCCAAAACATCCACATACTGCCTGAATAAAGACAAAGTCCTATGAAAAAATATGGGTAAAATTAAAATTAATCTTAAAAGAGAGGTCAAATGTATGATCACCTAACTGGCCCTATGTACTTAGGCTTGCTGTAGTTTATCAAGAATCAGTACAACCAAGATAGTCTTAAGACATGCATTTCTAGCTAACATGAATGTCCATTTTCATTCTGCTTGTCTGTGAAGGATTCTCAAAATGGCCGCAGCTCCTCAAGCAGGGAGGGGATCTATTCGCAAGACAAGGCCTCTCACTGTAAAGACATCCTTGAACAACCCGTATACTATCTGCTGGAGCCCTCTGGAGAGAGAGGATATGCACTTCATATTACAGACGCTTGAAGACAGGTTTAAATCTATCGGACTTAAGAAGATTGAAGATAAGAAGAGAATGAAAAAAACACCTTCTTTAAAAAAACGGAACAGAGAAAAATGCAGCATAACTATTGATATTAGTGAGGATCTGAAGGAGAAAAAAACAGATACCGACCAGCAAGTGTCAGGGTGGACACCTGTGCATGTCAGGAAGCAGCTGGCCATTGGTGTTAATGAAGTTACCAGGGCTCTTGAAAGGAGCGAACTGCTTTTAGTTCTAGTGTGTAAGTCGGTCAAGCCTGCCATCATCACCTCACACCTGATTCAGTTAAGTTTAAGCAGAACTGTCCCTGCTTGTCAGGTTCCCAGGCTCAGTGAGAGAATCGCCCCCGTCATTGGCTTAAAATGTGTTCTAGCCTTGGGGTTCAAAAAGAACACCACTGACTTTGTAGACGAAGTAACAGCTATCATTCCCAGAGTACCCAGTTTAAATGTACCATGGCTTCCAGACAGAATCGAAGATTTCAGGGAAAATTTAGAGATGGAGGAAAGCCAAGACAAAGAAATTTTGGAAACTTCATTTGAAGATCTCTCAAAACATAAGAGAAAGCATGCGGAAAGCCAGCAGGCTTCTGCTGTGGTATTACAGGCCCTTAAAATAAAGAAACTGATCCCAAACCCTAATAAAGTCAGGAAACCACCCAAAGTAAAAAAAGTACTTCGAAGTAATCTTGGATAAACTTGGCATTTCATACAAGTTATAAAAGGTCACCTTGTAAAGGAACTCTGAAATTAATAAAATGAGTTAGATTTACATATATTCTTAGGATCCTGTCTGGTAATGTTCATTTGAAATGAGTAAGACTTCATAATCAGATGGCACAGATAAACTGAAGCCCCAAATCATGGTGTAGAAAATCTTAAAAAATACGCATATCAAAACAAAAGTTTATTGAAACTAATGTTCATGCCTGCATAAATTCACTCCTTTAAAGGCTGGTACAATGCTTATAAGCAAGAACATCTGTATCCTATAACACTTGACATTTTTCAAACTTGGAAAATGTGTCACAGTAAACATGGTTCTAGTTAGTAAGGTAGATGAAACTAGATTGAAGAAGCATTATCGTTTTTAAAGGAAAGATACTAAATGCCAAGCAACATGCTGTTCAGAAACTGTCACTTTTTATTTCATCTCAATTTGACTTTCTTTGTAGGTAGGCTTAGATAAAATCTTGGAAGGAGGACTTGGTATTTTAGAAAAAGCCAGTTAAGATATTCAGTGACAGTTCACCCCTTTACACAATTTGTTTCCCGGGATGTATAAAAAGTATGATGGGGAGGCCAGCTGGTAGGTACAGTGGTAAAACACAACGCTCTTTGAGGCAGTCCCACATGGGAAGGTTTTGCATTCATGGCCAGAGGCTCCTCCCGTGTATGCCCACATGTGTTTACGATCTGGGGCTGGCTGAGGCCAGTGGTGGAGTGTGGCATCAGGACCTTAATGAGGGCATACTTTCATTTCTCACAGAAGAGAGAAAACTTTTTACCGAGAGGTTGTGTGCACTTGCCAGACAGAAAGCATTCCCCACAATCTGTTCTCCATTTATCTGTCCTGTCAGGTAGGCAAGCATGCACACACACCTGGCATGTTCCTTAAACTGCTGGGGCTTAGATTCGAACTGCAGTCAACCATGTGGAATCCAGCTCCTTCAACTGGTAGGCTACAAAGCAGACCCTAAACTTTTTTTTTTTTTAAGTATGGTAATTAGGTAAATGTGGCAAGAGGAGAATAAAAATGAGGAGCTTGGATACTCAAAGGTGAGTGCAATGACAGCGGACATTCAGGTTAGAAAATGAAGTGTAATTAATACTTGAAGGTAAATAGTGCTGTAAGGTGCATGTGCTTGCCAGAGAGACAGAGACAGGGAGACAGAAAGCAAGAAATTAACCCTGGGGGGAATGGCCATGCCATAATCCCTCCTCTTCCATTCTCTTCACAGAATCTCGGGCATGCACGCACATGCACCCAGCATGAGTTTTAAGCCACAGGGTCTGGGACTCAAAACTGGTTGACTACGTGGGAGTCCAGCAACATAACCATTATGCCACCTGCTGGTCTCAAAAAGTCACTTTCTGTAATTTAGAGGGACAGTATTAGGTTACAAAAAATTTTTCTCACCCTATAAATTCTGGTCAATTCATAGATTATGCCACTTCTGTTCATTAAAACTTAGTGCCAACTTTGTTAAAAAAAACCAAAAAACCTCATGGAAGGAATAGAGTATTTTCTTTACAAAATGCAGGGTAAAGTAATTTATTTTAATCTATAAGATATTGAAATACTAAATGTCAAGCAATATATTATATTTAAATTTAGTTTTTTTTTTTCTTTTTGAGAGATTTTTGCTATAGGGCATGTGTGCTCTGCAGAAAGACAGAGAGAGACAGAAAGCAAGAAATCGTCCCCAAGGAGGGATGGCTAACATTGCAACCCTTTTCCTCCATTCTCTCAGGACCTTGGACACACACACACACACACACACACACACACACACACACACCTGGCGTGAGTTTAAACTGCCGGGTATGGGACTCGAACCGTGGTAGACTACATGGGTGTCCAGTGATACAGCCACTACGCCAACTGCTGGTCCCCTAAATTTAGTTTTAATCCACCTTAAATGAACAATTCTGATTATCTTTTTAAAATGTTCATTGGTAATCTGCTTAAATATAAAGATGTGAATTTACTTATTAAGTACTATATTTAAAAGTGATTTTCTATAAAATAACTAACTGGAGTTATGCAAATGAATCTTTAAAGGAACAGTGTAACACTTTCATCATGAAATAAATTATGAGAAAATTTCTGACTGGCAATTCTGCATTTATTTGAAGCCTACTTTTTTGTGCTATAAAAATAAATGGGATGTAAGTTCCTAACTAGAGCCTCAACTCCAGATAAGTCAAAATCTTGGTTAGTTAATGCTGGGGTCTCAAAAATGTTCCATTGAATTGGTCAATTTTACTTCTTAAAGTCCTCCTGTTATAAAACAATGGTAATGCTGCTGAGTTTGAATCATCTGAAACGAGAAGTATTCCAAAACAGCTGGTCCTGGTCGTGCACTACTGTGGGGCCCAGGTGTCCCCTCTAGTGCTAGTCTCAGGCATGTAGCTGTGTGCTGGTCTTTAGGATACGGCAAGCTATAGAAAGTAGTGTTGTAAATGTTGGTGTAAATCAGCGTTGACAAACCGGAAAGGGCTAGGCAGTAAATATTTCAGGCTTTGCAGGCTACAGGGTCTGACAACAGCTCAATTTGCCCTCATAGGTAGTGAAGCAGCCACAGGCAACACCTGAACAAAAATGTGGCTGTGTTCCAATAAGACTTTATTTATGGATACTGAAATCTGAATTTTGTACATCTTTTCACACATCACAAAAATGTTATTGACTCCCCCCACCCATTCAAAAAAATAAAGATTATTCTTAGCTTGTGGACTGTATAAAACAGGTGACGGGTTGGATTTAGTCATGGGTCATAGTTTGGTGGCCTCTCTGTGGCATTAGATGTGATTGGCTTCGTTAGCCTACTTATAACGTGAAGGAATGCCATCATGTTGTCTACATAATTAACTTTCTGGACTGAACAGCCTAGGCACTGGTACAGTAAAGGCAGGAAGAACTATCTACTTTGTGGTATTTGAGTCAAGGCCTGTCTCTGTGGCCTCATTTGGCGTCTTATTTTTCCCTCAGGTTATTATTGGCAGTATATACACATCATAAACTATGTACACCATGAAACCTTGTTTTTCAAAATCTAGATAAAAACGCCATCAGTAATAAAATTATGAACACTTATTTACAAATAAGACATTTTCCAATAGCATGACAGTTTTCATGATAAATTAAAGTCAGTGTAAAGAATATGTGCAATTTTGCATAAGAAAAACATTCAAACTATCAAAGTCCTGATAGCACTAATAAATCCCACCGGGCATCTCTTTTGACTTTAGAGCTTTTATTCCCTTTTCCTCATACACCCTTGATGTTGCTGAGAGGAAACTGAAGTTTGTGCAGCAGCAGCAAAGTCTAGTCAGTCACGGGGGTATGCACTTTCAGATCGCACACCTGTCTACATAATAAAACTGCTTTGAAACAATCCGCTGACCTGTTGAAGATCAAAGTACAAATACGCATGTCTATTGATTTGGCAACTTTGCTGATGGAGAAACTAATGTACTAATTGCCAGTACATTTTTATAATCGCTCCACACTTAAACATTCATCCCTTGTCATTCAGTTATGGAAGTGTTGTTGACTCCAAAAATGTGCCCAATGATACCATCTAAGATGATGTAAGGAAAACTTCTCCAAGTGGATCCTTCATTCTGTTACATGGACAAGTATACCACCACTTAACAGATAGAAATGCAGCAGTTTATCTTCACACAATGGCAAAGATTTTCTGACACGATTCTTGACTTTAGAACACAGGAAAACTGTCCCTTTACTAGAGTGGGAAAATACCTTCTCTTCAAGAGATGGCTGAAAAGTTTGAAAATCAGAGGAATGTTCTCTGTACCCTTTCATCCCTCTCACAAATGGGCAGACAGTGAAAAAAAAAAAGATAAAATTCCTAACTAGAAATATGTACTATTGGCCACACAGGAAGCTTTTTCGTTTCTGATTGTTACCAACTGCTTCAATTTCACTTAAGTTGTGCTTTTTTATTCTTCTTTGGAATGGCAGTTCCAGGAATCATTAAATAGAATACTAGTAAATGATGATACCAGAGTTGTAGAAATAAAAATACTCATCTACTGTAGTACAAGTCCAACCTAAAGGGAGGGAAGAAATGGAACAGTAAGAACATGTGAGGAAAGTTAAGCTATAATACAGTATCATAGACCTGTATTTAGAAAGCTACACACACACACAAAACTCCTCTTAATCCTAAGAGAAGCAAGTGTAGGATTGTCTAGGTAAATATACTGAGTTTACAAAAGCTATATCAACTTGGCTTACCTTTTCAGATTCTGTTCCTGGACACCTCCAGTTGTATAAGTAATACTGCAAATTGCCATCTCCTATACCAAACTTGAGTTTTTCCAAGAATGTCTTATTTTCCATCAAATCTAGTGCATTGAATACGTCAAATCCTTTCTGCCAATGTAAAAAGGATTTGAAAGTTAAAACACCGAAGGACTCTAGAGGGTTTTCTATATTATGTATTTTAGGATAACATTTAATTCCTCTACTAACTGCTGAAATATGCATTTATAATAGGGCTTAATGTCTGCAGTGTAGAGGATAGGATAAGAATGCCATTCAAATCTAGTAAAACCAGCGGTGAATCTGATGGAGTCAGCAAGATAATTCAGAAATGCTGAATCAAAAATGTGGTATGCTGGCTGGCACTGTCATAAAATAACATATTAAGATTTCAGAGAGCTGGCCCTACAGTACAGTAAAGTGCTGTGATTTGGGAGCCAGATCCGCACAAGTCCTGACCTGACAGTTTGACTGAAACGTGCCAGGTGCATGTGTATGCATATCCAAAATCCTGATGGGATGAGAAATGGAGGAAAGGGGACTGCAGTATGGTCACACACCATTAGGAAGTATTTTAATAATAATAATAATAATAATTAAAAATTAAACAAAACAAGATTTTAAAAAATCTGAATCTGGTTTTAGAAGGGAAGTTGTCTAGATGGTTCCATGTCCAGGATTATAACTTACTAGCCTTTCTAATCCTGCCTTAACTGAAGCCATCTCCAAGGAACCAAAGTTATAAACACTTTAAATAATATGTTTGTCTTAGGGTGATACTGGGAAATAAATTTAGTAAAATTTTAACAGTAAAAATAAAAATGTTTTCAAATGTTAGATAGTACTATGCAAACTATGAAAAAGAAAAAACACCTACATTTTTATTTCTCAGGGTTTTGACCTTAACTTACTATTGGCCATTTTTTGGAAATAGCTGAATTAACAGTTGATCTGAGGATAAATGTTTAATGTTTTTGGAGAGATTTCTGCTACAGGGTGCATGAACTCACTGGAGACACAGAGACAGACAGAAAGGAAGAAATCACTCCTTGGGGGGAATGGCCATGCTGCAATCCCTTCTCCATTATCTTCTTGGGATTTGGGGGACACACGCATGCACGCCCAATATGAGTTTCAAGCCACTGGGTCCAGGATTTAAACAATGGTCAATCATGTGGCAGTCTAGTACCTTAACCACTACACCATCTGCCAACCCCAAGGATAAATTTTTAGAAAGATATTTAAAAAAAAATTTGTTGTAGGGCATGTGTGTTTACTGTGGACAAACAGAGAAACAGAGAAAGAAAAGCACTCTCCACTGGAAAAGGCCACATTGCAGTCCCCTTTCCATTCTCCTCTCAGGATTTTAGGCATGCATATGTATGCTTCCATTTCAAGCCGCTGGTAGTCTAGGACTATAACCATGCAGTTAGCCACGTGGGATCCAACTGCCTTTACCACTGTATCACCAGCTAACCCCCAGAAACAATGTCTTCAATGATCAAATTCTAAAGAAATGCAAGAAAGACACTCTGATGTGCTATTTCTGATGAATAATTTTTCCCATGTTTAACACATATCATCAAAATATGTCTTTCAGGGGCCAGCAAGTAGCTGGTGATTAAGACACTGGACTCCCACATGGCTGACCATGCTCTGAAACCTGGACCCAGCAGCATGAAAATCACACCAGTGCCCAAAATCTCAAGAGGAGAATGGGGAAGGGACTGTGGTAGGGCCATCCTTATGGGAGGTGATTTCTTACTTTCCATCTGTCTGTCTCTCTCTGCCCATCTCCAGTAAGCCCATATGCCCTTATGTCAAAAAACCTTAAAAAAAAAAAAAGCTGACTTAAATTTCCTTTTAAAGGAAAAAAATATTTTTTTTGTAACAAGAATGTAATAATTATCCTAACTCCTAAACAGGGGAAATAATAGAAAAATAACAGATATAGTAAGGTACATTTTAAAATTAATTCCTTTAATTTTAAATACTTTTATTCAGAGAATATTTAGTTGAATCCAAAATTTATTGCTGTTAACTATTCATTCAACAAAAGTATTTACTCTTGTATTTTCCTCACATTATGGGATCATATCTTTTTCTTGCATTCTTTGTAGGCTTTATATATCCTTCTAGAAGAGTTATAAGCTTCTAATTTACACAAAGTCTTTTTTGTTAAGTTATGAGATGATTAATCATGAAAATAGTTCCTAAAGTTTTAGAAGAAAATTAACAAAATTCTTCCTTTGATTTATGGTCAATAGTAATAAAAACAAAAACAATAAACTCCCATGAATTCCACCAGTGTGGAAGAAAATACAGTGATATGTCCCACATACTTTGATACCTATTTGAAAAGCACATGGCGCACGGCACTCTGCTTACCAATTTGGCTATAATGAGTGCATCATTCATGAGCTCCAGCAGGGGCGTCTCAGTGTGGATGTTGTAGAAGGAGTACGCAGCTTTGAGGCTCTTGTGAGCGGGATGGTGCATGACTGTCGACGGGAGAGTGTAGAAGCTCAGGAAGTCCGTCAGTTTACCACTTGCGCTCTGAAGGACAAAAGTGCTATTAGGTATCTCCTTGAACAAACCGCATCCACACATGTAAGATGTGGTCTCTGACATGGCCTATGACTTTCTGCTAGGACAGACAGCAACAAGCCATCTTTCTTTTCTTGGCAGTCCAACTTGGAGGCCCTGCTGTTACGTTATAGAGGCCAAAAAGGATACAAAGTTGGGACTTCAGCTTAAGTGCCAGTTGATGGTTTCCATAAAGTTTTTAAGAAGTATAATGTCCTATAAAGCAAACTTCCCTCAGGGTAATGAGTCGGTTCTCTAAACTTATGGAACAGTGATAAAAGCAGATTGATTGATTTTTGCAGAGATAAGAGTTCTAAGGATTAGAAAACTGCCTATCTACAGTTTTCTTAGTACAGGGTATGAATTTTATCGGCTTAAAGTGAAGTTGGGTAGAAGTTGTCTTTTAGAAGCTTAAAAAAAGTTTATTTCTTTTGTGAGTGAGCGAGTGAGCGAGCGAGAGATTCTCCTAACAGGGTCTTCACACTGTGATCCACTCCCAGCCTCAGTCAGCCAGGATCATGGGCACACACCCTGGTGTGTACAGGGGGGCCCTGATTGTGAACCCACGACCTTCCCATGTGGGTCCAGCTGTGCTTACTGCTGTGCCACCACCTGGCCTTTAGAGGCTTTTGAAAGGTCTTAGTACTGTACCAAAATATATGTATGTAACTAGGAAATTATTACATCTATCAAAAATAGAAAGGAATCCAATGGATGATATTCATTTCATCATTGACAAACCATTCAATACAAGAAATTAGCTAGTAACATTTGGGTTATTTTAATTAGCCATGGTGACCTCGCAGCCTTTTGGAATGGGCTGTTTGAAACTGTATGGCTGAGAAGGCTAAACTATATGCAGTTGCTAGTATTACTTTCAGCAGAAAGAAAATTCTAGAAGAATTCATTATCTCGTTTGTCAGTTCTTCTGTACTTAATAAATCTTTTTTTTCAGATATTAAGAAATGAAAGGAGTTAATCTACAGTGATCCTTCTATTGCTGTTTTAGCAGCTCAGTGTTAGAGATGAATTCAAGACAGAAACATACAGGTTTAAAAAGGATTTTAGATTCTCCTACAAACTTGTCAATGTCAATGACATGCTAAAGTTATTGAAGGTACTAGTAGAACCTGATTAGGTTCCCTGCCCCTTTTTAAATCTGTGTTCTAGAAAATTGGTTCTTCGTATGTGCACTGATTATGAAATTACTATACCAGAATTACTACCCAACTTTTGAGAAAACAGTGGGTTAGTTATCACCTTTGGTGCCTCCTATTGTCCCTCACATCCAATCAATTATAAAGACTGATTAATAAAAAAAAAATAGAAACTATCCACAAAGAGTAATATGTCTAGGTGGTTTACTGTCAACCTCTTCTAAGTTTCTGGAAGCAAATCATCCCTCTATTATATAAATCATTTCAGACAGGGCTAGCCTGTAACCTAATGCTTAAGGGAGTCAGACCCCATATGGCCAAACATGTAGTTCAAGACCTGGGAGCTTGAAAAACATGCTGGGTGGTATGTGTGTGTGTGTGCGCGCACGTGTGCATGCGTACGTGCACCTAAAATCTAGCAGAATGGGAAAAAGAGAAGGGGTTGTGGCACAACCAGGCCCCATTGGGGGATGCTTTGGCCCTCTTTTTTTCTCTGGCTGATGAATGCATGAGTTCTCTGGCAAATTAAAAAAAAGAAAGAAAGAGAAAAAGAAAACTTCCCAGAAAAAAGAGAGGGCATACTCAACTCATTAGTCTAAGTCTGATTATCAAAAATAGGACAAAGACAATAATAAGGGGAAATTAAAGGCTGTCTTCAGTCATGAGTATAGATGAGGATCCTACATTTAGCAAACTAAATTAAACGTATGTATGTGTATAAATAAAATATGATGTGATTACATGGGAATTAAACAAGAAATGTAAAAATTGGTGCTCTATCTGACTAACAATTTAAACACATCATTTCAACAGATGCAGAAAAAGCATGAAATGGAATCCGGTGCCAATACATGGTTAAAAGTTCTCAATAAGCGGGGGACAGAAGACAGCTTTTACAATTTTATAAATGCATTTATAAGAAACTTAGAGCTAGCATCACACAAAACAGAGCTATACTGAATAATCTCCCTCTGGTCGTTTTAACACGTCAAGGGTGGCCACACTCTAATTCTATTCAACATTATACTGGTGGCCTGATGCAGTAAGGCAAGAAAAACAAAAGTCAAGAAAAAATAAAGATGTCTTCTTTAGAGTGTCATGACATCCTAAGAAAACTTCCAGGGTCACCAGGTAGTGTGGAGGTTAAGGTGCTTGGTCCCATGTAGCTGACTTGTAGTTTGAGTTCTGGACCTGGCAGATTGAAAATCACACTGGGTGCTGTGCGTGCATGCCCAAAATCCCAAAAGGAGAATGGAGAGGAGACTGTGGTGTGGCCATCCCCTTGAAGGGTGATTTCTCACTTCTCTCTCTCTCTCTCTTTCACTAGTGCATGCACCCTATAGCAAAAACTGAAAACAAAAAATAAACAAAAAAAATTTTTTTTATCTACTAGAATATGTAAATCTATCAAGAACAATGTACAAAATGTACAAAAATCCTTAATATTTATATATACTAAAATAAAGCAAATGTAAATGAATAAATAAAATACAAATTACAATAGCACAAATAACATGAAATATTTAGGAATAAATTTAATAAAAGCTGTGCAAGACCTCCCCACCTAAAACTACAAAATACTATTAATAGTAAGAAAAATTAAAGACCCAAGTAAATGGAAAATTATTCAGTGTCAATGGGTTGGATATCTTGGTATCGTTTTTTTTTTTTTTTTTCTAGAGAGATTTTTGCTATAGTGTGTGTGTGCTCACTGAAGAGACAGAGAGAGAAAGTAAAAAATCACCTGCTGGGGGGATGGCCATGCTGTAATCCCTTCTCTTCCATTCTCCTCTTGGGATCTTGGGCATGCACGCACAAGCGCCTGGTGTGAGTTTTAAGTCACCAGGTCTGGGACTGAACCATGGCTGACCACATGGGAGTCCAGTGATGTCACCATTACACCATCTGTTGGTCCCTATCTGGGTATTATTAAGATTTACTCCCCTAAAACTAATCTAAAAATTCAATGTAATCCCAATCAAAGTTCTAGAAGGCTTTTGTGGCACAATCAGACCAGTTGATTCCACAATTTATATGGAAATACAAAGGACCAAACAATTTTGACAACAGCACATTTGGAAGACTTATACTACCTTATTTCAAGACTTATTTTAAGAGGCCAGCAGGTGGCACAGTGGTTAAGGTGGCTAAACTTTTCTATGGACAACCATGATTTGAGTCTTGGACCTGGCAGCTTGAAAAATCACATTGGGCACATACACATGCATACCTAAGAGGAAAAGGGGCTATGGTGTGGCATCCCCCTGGGGGGGGGGGTGATTCTTACTTTCCCTTTCTCTGCCAGTAAATTGAACTTCATCAGAATTAAAATCTTATCAAAAAGTATCATTAAGAAAATTAAAATGTAAGCCACAGACTGAGAGAAAATACTCATTATAAGGAGATGTTAAGATATATAGATATAGGTAATAGAGGTCTCATATCCAGAGAATAAAAATAGTTCTTACAAGAAGATTGGAGAAGACAGTTCAAAAAGAAGACAAATGGTTAAGGTGCTGGATCCCACATGACTAACACCACAGTTTGAGTCCCAGACTTGGCAGCTTAAAAATCATTTTGGGCACATGTGTGTGCATGCCTAAAATTCCAAGAGGACAATGGAGGAGAAGGGACTGTGGTGTGGCCACCCTCTCTTAAGGGTAACTTCTCACTCCCCCCCTTCCCCATCTGGTGAGTGTACATGTCCTATATGGGGAGGCCAATAAACATAAGAAAAGATACTCTATACCATGAGTTATTAGGGAAATAAAAATTAGAATTACATTGAAATGTCTTTCAAATGACTAAAACGAAAAATAAAAAAGACAATATGAAATGATGAGGATATGGAACAATTAATTGATAGAAGTTTTAGTAAAATATATAGTATAACTACTCAAAACTACTGGGAAGTCTCTTAGGAAGTTAGACATGGACCGACCAAATGAAGTTACACATAGACTTAGAACCAAATGAAAAAAATAAGCCACTGATTTAGCAGTTGTATTCATAAGAGACACACCTATAGCAACCCAAATGTCTACCAGCAGGAGAATGGCTAAACAAACTGCATTATAGTCAATACAATGGGCTATTACTCAGCAATAAAAATGAATGAACAACTCTCATAGATATCACATTGAAGGAGATAACCAGACACAAAAGGAGTATGTATTAAATGACTGAATTTATAATGATGAAGTCCTACAACAGATGAAACTAATCTGTAGTGATAGAAGTAAAATCACTTGTTGCCTTAAAAATTATATATACCCTAGGGTAAAAGTTCTCAAAGTGTGGTCTATGAATCCTGTGCTACTTGAGACTTTTTCAGAAATCTGTGTGGTCAAAACTATTTTCATAACAACTCTAAGAAGTTATTTACTTTATCTAGTGTTGACATCTGCACCAGTGGTGCAAAAGTACTGGTGGGTGAAGTGCTGGTGCCTTAGCACAAAACCACAAAACAAGGCAGGGGCACCAGACTGTACAGTGGTCATTCCTTCAACCCCATCCCCTAACAGTTAATGAGAAGTCAGTCTCACTTAAGCATTAAGATTACTAATTTGAGGCTAGCAGGTGATATGGTGGTTAGGGGCACTAGACTCCCACATGGTCAACTACGGTTTGAGTCCTGGATGTACGGATAAAAACTTCTGCTTGAAACATCTAAAGGACTTGAAAGGTGCCTCAAGGACAAGCCCTGTACAATTGCACTATGAAGTGAACTTACCACTTTTCATGGAACACTACCTTCAAAGTAGAACTGCACACCATAATCAATCAGACTTGAAAATGAATGTGGGCTGGCCCCATGGCCTGATGATAAAGGGAAATAGATTCCATGGGGCTGGCCATATGGTTCGAGTCCTGGTGACCAGAAAAATACATGAGGCACGTGTGTGTGTGTGTGTGTGTGTGTGTGTGTGTATTCAAAATCCAAACCGGGAGAGATGGAGGAGAAAGGACGGTGGCATCACCATGTCCCACTGAGGGGTGCTTTCTCCCTCTCCCTCTTCTCTGTCTTGCACATACACCCCCCCCCCGGCCAAAAGAAACAAAAAACAAAAAACAATGAATGATATAAGCCTGTCACTTCAAGGGAAAAACTGGCAGGGTTTGTGGCCACTGATTAGATTTGAGCTTTCGGGTGCAAGTTAAACTTTTAAAAAGCCTACATCCTACACTATGAGCTATACAAAGTCTTCAAAAAGTTCACAGAAAAATACATATTATGAAAAAAACTATGCACAGATTTCAAAATTTTTTTGCACCAAACTAAACCTGTATTTTAATATACTTCCATGAATTTTTTGAGGATTCCTTATATTGTAGACTTTTCTGATGGCAATGGTGGTAATATCGATGAACATGACTTGGTATCATCTAATGAAGTACCAGTATTTGGGAGACCTATCCAGCTCTGTGAACCAGTATTTTTCCAAATGACCAATGTATGATATTACATAACTTATGCAAGTAATAGCTTGTTTATGTGGGTAAAATACTAACTCAAAGGACAAGACAGACAAATGGATTTTAACGTAATAGGGTATAAAAAGTTCACTTGACATGATTTTTGTTTCTCTCTTTTTTTTTTTTTTTAAATTTGTTATGGGATGCATACACTTGTTTTTTTTGAAAGAGAGAGAAAATGAGAAATCACAGGTGGACATGGCCATGCCATATTCCCTTCTCCTTTCAGAATTGTGGGCATGCATACACATGCACCCGGTGTAATTTTTAAGCCATGGGATTTAGAAATTGAACCACTCAGCTGGCCATGTGGGATCCAGTCATCTTAACTTCCACACTGCCTACTGGCCTGACATGATTTTTTAAATAAGAAAATCTCTATAATCAGGATCAGCAGTTGGTATAATGGCTATGTCGCTGGACTCTCATGTAGTTGACTGTGGTTCGAGACCCAGGTCTAGTGACTTAAACTCACACCAGGCGTGTGTGCGTGCACACCCAAGATCCTGAGAGGAGAATGGAGGAGAAGGGATTGTGGCGTGGCCATCCCCCCGGGGGTGATTTCTCACTTTCTGTCTCTCTGTCTCTGTCTTTCTGGAGAGCGCATGCGCCCTATAGCAAAAACCTCTCAAAAAAAATCTATAATCATCTGAAAAGACTATTAAAATACATGTTCTTTTCCATATCTTCAATATTTCATGTTAAATATTTTCTTTATATATTTCAACTAAAACAATATATCACAACAGACTGAATGCAAAAGCAACAATGAGTAAGCTAGTTGTCTACTATTAAGTTGAGACTTTAAAGAGATTTGCAAAAATGTGGGAACCGCAGTTAGCGTAATGGGTATGTTGCTGGACTCCCACGTAGTAGACCACAGTTCACGTCCCAGACCCAGTGGCTTAGAACTCACACCGGGCATGTGTGCATGCATGCCCAAGATCCCAAGAGGAGAATGGAGGAGAAGGGATTGCGGCGTG